TGTTACTGTCGTGGTGGTCTCCCCTGGCGAGTGTAGCTCATAAAATATGTATGTAAAGAAACACAACACAAAACATGATTTTCTGTAGGTACATCAATAAGCATTTCTCGATATCTGAAATATTTTTATGATTTTATTTGTATTTTGTGTACTACAACTACAGCAGCAGACACGGATTTATTGTGGCGATTATGAACGATAATGTTATCCAACGCTAAATCATTGCTGATGGCTTTCTAAGATTTTATCGATATGATGAAAAGGTGTTCTCGTATTTTACGAGTTACGAGTTATTTTACTGTTGTCATTTACCATTCGATATTAGAATCTAGGACGTTTCCCCCTCCCCCCCCCCTTGCCGTTTCGCCCTGCATACAATGGACGAAATATTTGAAATATTTGAAATATTTGACTAGCTTGGCCCCTTAAGCCCCCCTATTTTCATATATGCTACGAGTACTAAGTTCAATACTAGGACGTAGCCCTATATCTTATGTTTCAAAAAAGTTGAAAGGATAAAATCAACTTCGAACAATATACCTATTGAAATTAAGGAATATTTTTCGAAATTATTCTTATATCCAAGTGGTGTGTTTCATTGTAATTTATCTTTTTACATTTATTTTTCAATGATTATTTAGAAAAAATGTCGTAATGTTTATAGATCATAGTTCTATTTCCATCTAACCTTTAAGGCTTTAACTCAATATTGCTACTGTTGGGCCATTTCTATATCCTATCGTAGTGACGTTTTGTCCATCGTGTTATTTTCAAAATTCAAGTTAGTTTAGAAAAGAAAATAACTGCTATTGTGCTATCAATCATTTTTTTTTTTTTGACAATGTAAGCCAACTAAATAATTGTATTGGATTCTCATTATTATTTAACCTTTACAATTTTCTTTCTACAGTGTTAACCCTCGGAGGGCGATATTAAATAAATTAGTATAAAGGTAAAAATTTCTTTATTACAGTTCATCAAAAATATACAATGCACAGTATTTAAATTTTAATAGTTCTTCGTTGCTCTTACTCTTGTAAGTTGTAATGTTAAAATTTTTTTATAAATATTTTTAATAATATTTTGGAAACGAATTCAGTAAATATTTTCGTTAAATTATAAAACAAGTGAATTATTAAAAAAAATACGTAAATTAATGAAATAGAAATGGAAAACTTGAAAAGATTTATGTGGTAAATTGTTTGCAAAAGTAATAAATATGATATTTTGTTTTCACACTATATAGGTTATAAACATTCATTAATTAATCACATAAAAAAAATATTAAAACACGGCATTAATTATGAAAGATTTGTATTTTTTTTTTTAAGAAAAATATTTTTGAAACGTAATTAAAATAAATTATCTTAGGTGGTTAACAAAACGTGACGTTGACTACTAACAGTATTTGATTTTATGGTTTCTAGTATCGGTGTGTATAGTAATCGGTGTTTAAATATTTTTTTAATAAAACGGAACCGGGAAATTATTTTGATTCGTAGCTAGTACAAGTACAACAAACAGTTTGTGGGACACCCTTTTCGTAATATGGTTTAAAACTATTAAAGAAATGAAATTGTGCATTATTGACACCCCGTGTAATAATTTATTGACAGGTGCGATTGTATGAATGTTTTCGTATGCTTCGACAGTTCCTATGAATGTCGCCAGTTGTACGCATTATAATAATATGTATATAAATTATGTCTTTGTATTTAAAATTATGAGATTTATTCGTTTCCTAATGGAATTCAATCGGGGACGTATGCATTCAGCATCGAATTCTTTTGAAGTACAATCAATAACACATTTTTGCGATTCGGAGAAATGTTATTTATGGTCGTTTTTATTTTTTATTTTTTCGCTGTACACTGCAGAGTATATTATAATATTATATAGTAGTCACAACGCTTTTATACAGAGCGATTATCTTAACATACTTAAGACACTCGTTATTTTGAATGCTATACATAATGTATTTTTATACGATATGAAGACTTTACAAACATTTTTTTTTAAATTATATTTTTATTGATTTTTATCGTTATTGTTTTTAAGTTTTTTTAATTTTCTGAATGAACATTCATATTTAATGTCCTATTCCGCAGTGAAATAGATTTTAGTGTAATTCGATGAATGCAAATTTAATTTCAAACAAGTAGTCAGTGGATTACAAGTATTATGAATTAAAAATGTTTTTTTGCCGTTCAAAACAACGTAAAAACAAATAATACAAAATACAAATATATGTTTTTTAATGTGGTTTTGTAATGATGATTTCAAATTAGTACTTATGTGAGCAAATGTCCTAAAAAATGTCGATGCAGTTTATGTATAAGAAATAATGAGTGACTTAACCTAGGTATCTTACGTTAAAAAAATCACCCTGTATATATTGTCTTCATATACCATAGCGTATGATAGTATGGCATAATATAGTGAATATACCTAAAGTGGACAGGTGACATTATTGCTTTTCATTTTCGAATTAGGCTAGTCTCGAACGGACAATTTTGAAAAATCAAGTCGAGTATGAAAATAATAAATTATTACAGCTGATTACACTTTCAGACTCGTGCTGCACAGAATAAAGAAATATCATATTATTATTTCGTCAAATATTAAACCGGTTTAGCGTACCCACTAAACAGTACACGTCTTGAGGGAATGACGGATTCATTGTTTGAGATTTCGGCAGAAAATAGGGAAACGTTTGCGAAATGTTTGAGGGCTGACATGTGCAATGTACAACTACACGGTCGTTGTGTACATTTGTGGGTATTGCGTGTATACACGTAAGCTTGTGCAAGTATGGCCAGAGGCCATATTTATGTAGGTACCTTCCAGTGAATTAGAGAACAAGATTTACACGACTATTATACTTATTATTGTATTTTAGTATTTTAACGTGAAACGGGATTCGATCAAAGTGAGTAGGTAGGTATGCAGCGCAGGTTGAATGGACTTTTTTTTATTTGTTTTTGTTTATTTAGGAGGTAGGTATACCTTTTTTTTACGATTTTTCTCCGACATACTACATAAATTAAATGTATTATATTATTATTTTCTACCTTTTATTCGGTTTCTTCTGACACCATTCTATGTAAAAAATACACGAGACTTGTTTGAATTAATTGTGTACAAGTCCTACGGCGCACATTTCTGCAAACGATAGAGCGTAATGTGTAAATCACTGCCACCGAATTTTCTATAAGGTACCTTAAAATAAATTAAAATAGATAATACGAGACAATATTATATTTCTTAAGCTATGAACAGTCGTGGTAGGCGGGAAAATTGTCTTGGTGGAATGAAATGTTCGTGTTTTCCAAAATAATAAGAGTTTTATTTATATTTATATTCTAGAATATTATAATATTAGTGCAGTATTATGAAATAATATACCTACACGTTTGTTGGTTTGAAAAACTAAATGATTTGTTTGCACTTCGCTATTAATGTCACGAAATAGCAACATTATTAATAATTACACTCTTTAACTTTACACATTATTTCCACTTAGTTTATTGTTGTTAACATAAAAGCATGTAGATGTAATATAATATAACTTGCAATACTCGAACTAAAAGTGGTAACGGAATTGAACAATAACAATAATAAAACTTAACAAGTTTATTAACAATTTTAAATCTGAATTTATAATTAACAACTGGGGGTCATTATAAAATAGATTTATTGCTATAGTTTCATATAAGTTATGTGATTCTAATGTTTTTTATTTTATGGTGTTTTGCTAGATATTTATATTTATTAATTATTACTTCTTTACTTTCAATTGGATTTAAAAATTAATTATATTTCAATAAAAATCAAGTATAGCGTGTTCGTGAATAATAATTACAGCTCCGCTGTATAATTGTAGCAGCCGATACTCGATAGTGTACACGGTAATAGGAAAAAAAGGCAATTGAAAAAAAAGCAACGGAAAAAAAAGCAGTAAAAAAAAAGCAAACGGAAAAAAAAACAAATGAAAAAAAAGCAAACGGAAAAAAAAGCATTTGAAAAAAAAGCTAAAGGAAAAAAAAGCAAACGACGCACATTTTTGTTTTTTTTTTTAAAAAGAATTTTAATAACTCAAGATAATTACAATATTTTACTTAATCAGTGAGAAGTGTAAAATATATACGTGGTTTTTTTGTAGCTTAGCCCTTTCCTCCTTTTCCCTATCTTCTCCCCCATTAAAAGGTTTTATATTATTTATTAATTATTTTTTTTAACCATTACTTAATATGTTATGTATAGCAAACCATTTTAAGGAGAGAAGCAAAAAATGTTCCTCCTTTAAGTATAATAATATGTAATAGTTGCCTATTTACATACAATTTAGTTAAAAGCTTGGATGTGATTTATTATGATTGTGGCGGTCCAGTTTGACTTAATATGTAATATGTAGGTACTACGGACGCTCGTCGAAGCTCGTGCCGCTTTCCCCGACAAATGATTAGAAACAACGTGGCACTTGGTCACTAAATAAGTGATTATTTGATATTATATACCTCCTATATGACTCGTCACATCGTAAAGGACAACAATTGACAAATGATACGACTATAATAAAAATGTCAAAATCATATTTCAAACTTATCTTATAATGATTCAAAGACAGATAATGAGATAGGTAGGTATTTAGGTTTTCAGGTTTTCGATAATTGATAAAATATCAACAGTAATATTATA